CAAACAAAATTATTTTTGCAAAGATTATAATAATTAAAAGTAAAAGGAAAAAAATGGAAGCAAGAATGGTTAGGGTTATAATGAAAATAACTTTTCACCCTCGTTGTTAGATGAATGATCTTTCATGTCATCTCAGATCTTCAAATATCTAATCAACTATTGCATTAAATGCATGCTGCCATTTTGTTTTTTAAAAGACACCTCTTTTAATAAAAATAGGCCACCTGACCATCTCTTTCAATAAGAACGAGCCACCTAACCATAAAGAATCCCAACAATTCTACACGGGATACAAATCTCATAGGAAAAGTAAAAAGTCTTTAACTAAAGCCAGTAACCTTTTAAATATTTATGTATTTAATATGTAAAGACTTAGGGGGCTATTGATGAATTAATGTATTATATATGTGTGTGTGTGTGTGAGAGAGAGAGAGAGAGAGAAAGAAAGAAAGGGCACGCATGTGTGTGTTATGTCATACATTTACTTAAAAGCTCAAAATTAAGAAGGCCAAAGGTAAGATTGTAACTTAATGTGTCTATACCTAGCAAAATGCCAAACCCATATGATATAGGCCTAGCTTAATTCCAGACCTAACATCTTTCAGTTTAGCTATATATTATGCTTTTGGTGCATACGGGTCTTGCAAAATGCTAGATCTAATATTCTTAAGTTCAATTATACGCTAAGCTCAAGTGCATATGGTTCTAGCAAGATGTCAAACCCAACACCATTGGATTCAGAATCATTCTTGGTCTATATACATATAGACTTAATAATTTTTTTAGGCCACGTATTAGCTCACAAGAATTTGTTTACTTATTCTTATGTCTTTAACATAAAATGTTAAAAGTCAATACTAATCATCTCCCTATATCCCTAAATGCATAAAAATCTTCTAAGGAGCTTACCATATTTCCATCAACATTAATATTGGGTAACAAATATCTATTTATCATTGATATTGTGTAAATGATATATATCCTTCATTAATGTTATTAGAAGAAGATATTGATTCAACCTTTTTGTTTAAGCAACATAACAAAGTTTATAGGCTATATATATCTTTTAAACCACCCAGGTAAAGGGCTCACACTTTTTCTATTCTCTAAAATATTCATACTCTCATTTTCAGAGCATTTATCATACATAACTAAGAACAAACACTCTTGTTGTTAGAATTAAATATCAATTTTCTTATTTATTGCAATTTCCTGTTAAAAAATAATTGAATTTATTATCGGATGATCCCTATATCCCATTAAAAAAGAGTATTTTACAGGTGTCAAGCCTTCTATTACCAACTATCAATTTCATGAACTTTGGAGAAATAAACATTGAAGTGATATTGTGATTACCTATCATTCAAACGCTAAAAAAACCTCATTCCTAGGCATATTTAATATTTAAAACATCATTACTTTGCTAGTTTCAAAATTTCATTTTTGTTTTTGTGTTTGAAAGAAATTGTTACATGCAAAACTATGAAAATTAAGATTAAAATGGAAATTAGGAAGGGATTGAAATGAAAATGATTTGGGGAAAGCCTTTGGATGTTGTAAATAATCTCACACCTAACATAAATCCTAATCCTTAAAAGAAACAAAAGATTTTTTTTTATTAAAAGTATACAATTAATAAATAATTCAACTATTATTATGGTTCTTAAACTAAATAAAAAACTAATATAATTTAAAAAATAATTAATAATCCCAAAAAAACTCATGTATTAGTCTGTTGAATTGGAAGGAACTTATTTACAAATTTAAATTATCTTGATTTCATAAATAATCCATAAAAAATTGTAATTTTTTTTTCTTTTTCCTTTATCTTTATCAGCTTCATAAGCTAGAGCTTGCTTTGATACCTCTATAATGACAATTAAATATGTTGTAATGACAAAATCATACGTTGATAGAAAATGATATTTTGTTCGATTGCTTCTATGGTATACTAGAATAGAGAGGTTAACTATTACAAAACACTTGTGTATACTAGAACAGAGAGGTTAACTATTACAAAACACTTGTGTGCCTTTAAGTCTTAAGGATCTTTCGTTTGATTGTAGAAATCATAAAATACTAGAAGTTGATTGTTGCTTGTCTTTATAAACAAAACTATTGTTTCCATAACTTTTTGAACACTTTCTATTTATACTTTTATATGAATTGTTTCCATCATTAGAGGCTACATCCTACTCCACCTACTCAGAATAATCATTAATAAATCTTTCTCTTTATCTTGATAGGTGGAGTCATCGGTACAAAGTTTTAGTATAATGGAAAGGAATGAAGCGTGTCTTTACCTTCTTAATCTTGTCTCATTCATAAATCTTGAACTTACCCTGTCACTTGTAGATAACTGCTCTTACCATATAGAGGCACGATCCTTAAGCCCAATGATGATCAACTTCAACTTCATAATTTCTAAGACCTCATTGTACTATAATATATGTTCCATCTCATGAAGCTAGTCAATAAATTCCTTTATCTATAAGAGCTTGCAAACTTTGAGAGTTCCATTGTAAAACCTAGATGTTTATAGTGATCATCCCAAACACAAATGTTGCTATCTCTGATCACGCTCATGATAAAAGTTCTCAAAACTAGATGTAGAGTCACAATCATTTATTTCATGATCATCCAAATCCTAATATGTCAAATAACAAGTTAGTTGCGAAACCTAACTTTATAAATATTTTAATTATTATTTTGTTAATGTTGGGCTTCTATAAGGAACTTCCTTGTTTAGAAAACGAAATCCTCCACCATGACCTCATCCTATTTCATGATTTGTAGCCATGATAATCAAATAGTACAACAACAAACAACTTGAAAAGTTAGATTTTAATATTAAGTGATAGTATATTTTAATATCAAGTGATGTTATGATTCAATTCATGAATTAGCTCACTAGAGTTCATTGTATTTTTTTATTATTTTAATAATAAATTGATATTTAGATGAAAATTATGAGATATTGAGATGAAAAAGGCTTGAAAAAAAAAACCTTAGACTTTGTAAATAATCTCATGACAATATACAAAAATTTGAGCAATATTTTGAAAAAAATAAAATAAAATAGATAATTTTATTTATACTAGTTATAAGTTTAGATTTTAATCTTTAAAGGAAAAACTAGGGGTGATCAAAAAAACTGAAAAATCGATTAAACTGAGAAAACCAAAAAAAATAACTGAAAAAACAAACCGTGAAAAAAAACCGATTAAACCGATTAGAATTTTAAAAAAATCCACCGGTTCGGTTCAGCTTCGGTTTGATAAGCCTGAAACTGAAAAAACTGAACCGAACCGAACCGGTTTAGTTTAAAAAAAATATATACTATAAAAGCCCCTTCTAAATTTTTAACCCCCCCTCCTTTTGCATTGCAACCCCCCCCCCAAAGCACACAACTCTCAAATCTCAATCTCTCACACTCTCGTCCGTCACTAATGGCCAAATCTAAACTTCTAGTCATCTAACAAAACTTCAACAAAGCTTCGATCTTCATCTTCAAATCTAACAACCCAGGGACTGGTTTAGTGTATGCTTCAAATCTTCATCTTCAAAGCTTCAATGTTTGTTTTCTCTCATCGTGGTTTTGTGTCCTTTTTTTTTTTAAGGTTGATGCATCTCTTGCTGTAATTCCTACTAAGGCTGAGAAGAAAGATTAAAGCTTTGTACATCATGAGTTACTGTGCTCTGTTGTTTACATAGAGCTCTTTACTTTAAAAGTCTGTTTTTTGTTTAACTTTTATATTGGTCGTATGTTAGATGGGCAGGGTTCAAGCACACTGATTTTGACACCCCATGGTCCTTTATATTAGCTTTAGTTGCAGTTGTTCTACTCGTCCTCACTATGATACAGGCCTTCTTTGCTAGGCCTTTGCTTTCTATGGATGTTACGGTCCTCCTAAGCAATAATTATATTCTGTTGTTCTAACTTGCAAATTGTATAATTGAAATGCACTAAGCGATGAGAAACCATTCTCCTTGCAACTCTTTGCTGTCTTACCAGAACTCTATAGTCTGCAGTCCCATGATAGTTTTCATAAAGCTTATGATGATAGATTTTTTGTTTGTTGAGTAATTGGGCTTTTGAAATTGTGGGGTTTATAGGGAAGAACAAGAGGGAAGCTGGAGAAGCTATAGAGAAGATTGTTAAAAAAACCCGGTCGGTTTGAATATAGGTTTTTTCGGTTTTTATGTTAAAAAATCAAACAGGACCGAACCGAAACCAGTTGGTTTGAACCGATTCCGGTTCAAATTTTTCAGTTTTTCAAAATTTTATTTTGGTTATTTTTTGGGTAAAAATCAAATCGAACTGAAAATAATCACTCCTAAAAAAAACCCTAATTCAAAAGGTATATAGCCAGTGAAACATTTTTCTAAATAAAATAAAATAAAGGAAACAAAATAACATGAAAAAATAAATAACAATTCCAAATTGAGCTTAAGCTAGAACAACTGTGGACTCGTTTGATGACTCAAACAACATGAACACAACATCATCACCTTTAATTTCCCCAATTACCAGGCAGACACAAGCTCACAATCAAATCTAACATGGGACCCCGTTTCAGATACCTTATGGGCCACTCAATTAATGTAGATCAGAGGATCCAAGACCCGATAACTCTCAGTTGTTTCACAAAATTGACTCAATCAGAATCTAACCCACATTTCATCCCGCTTGGTCTAGGAGCTGACATCCCTATGCCTAAAGAGGAAATTGGGTCGGCAAAAGTTTATTTTAAAAAAAAAACAATGATTGAGGTTATTCCAGCTTTGTCGTGTTAAAAACTGAGAGACAAGAATACGTGTAGCTTTTGAATTAGAAAGAGAACTTTAGTCCAAAAGTCCAATTTTCTATACTCACAGAAACCTAATTTAATAGACACCTGCTTACCATTCTCTCCCTACCTTAATTTCCAACCACGTAACCCTAATCTTTCACGGTTTTCCCATAAATATTAGGAAAGAAAGTTTCTGAGAAATGGACAAAAATGCACTGTTCACTTACTGCAACCCGGGTTTATGTTAAGATACGAACTGCCATATTTTTATCTAAATTTACAAGTATAATTTCTGATTCTCTGACCCTTGATGGACAAGAAATCACTACCCATCGATGGAGGAAGGGGACCCACTAATCTCTCCCCTTCTTTATCAACTGTACCACTGCCAGCCATAATGAGTTCCTCCACGTAACATTGCCTTCTGATCTCTCACTCTCTGCATTTACACACACACAGACACTCACTCTATTTTCTCCATACAGGTTCTCCACATCCTAGCTACTCTCTCATTCATGGCTCTCCTTCCCTTGTTTATTCTCATTCTTATGGCTCCTTCCTCTAGTAATGCTCAATGGCCACCTTCACCTGGCTACTGGCCAGGTTCTAGGTTCAGGTCAATGAGCTTTTATCAAGGATACAGAAATCTCTGGGGTTATTCACATCAACGAGTAGACCAGAATGCGTTGACTATCTGGCTAGATAGCACATCAGGTTTAACTCGAGTCAATTAGCTACCTGACATTATAATGCGTCTCTGCTAGCTGTCTGAATTAAATTTTGTTAGGTATCTAATCATAAAGCTTTCTGCACAATATTTAATTTACTCATTCTCCTAATCTATTGTTTTTGCTCTTTGTAACAGGTAGTGGATTTAAATCAGTTAAACCATTTCGATCAGGGTATTTTGGTGCTTCCATTAAGCTCCAACCTGGCTACACTGCGGGTGTTATAACAGCTTTCTATGTGAGGATTGGACTAATTAAACTATACATGCTCATAATAATTTACTGTAAAACGTACCTTTCTCTGCTAGTATTACTCTTCTTTAATCAACACAGTAGTCGGTATAGTATATGTAAAGATGTTCTTGTATTAATGTCTAATTAATTAATATTTGTAATCAATTAATGGCAGCTTTCAAATAGCGAAGCTCACCCTGGGTACCATGATGAAGTGGACATAGAATTTCTTGGCACGACATTTGGGAAGCCTTACACTTTGCAGACCAATGTTTACATCAGAGGAAGTGGGGATGGGAGAATAATTGGGAGAGAAATGAAGTTTCATTTATGGTTCGATCCAACCAAAACCTTCCATTATTATGCCATTCTTTGGAGTCCCAAGGAGATCATGTAAGTTAACCACTACAGTGATCACCTATAATATTTATATAATCAAGGAGATTTTAAATTTATTTATTAAATAATTATGAGTTTAAATTCTTTTAGAATTACTAAAAATTTATATAATTATTAATTTAAAAACGTATATAACTAATCAAAATACATATAAATTAACTCTAATCAAAATACATATAAATTAACTCGTACAATTATATTAATTTTTTGTTTTAAAGTGCTTGTTCTAATTTAATTTTTTTTGATATTATGTATATTTTTTTTGACACAGTTCTTGGGTGAGTAATTATTTTATTAACTCAAGATTTCTAATTCATCACATGTTTACTAGATTAAAAGATATAAATGATAGTATTCAAACAAGAGATTTTCTCTGTTTTTTTTAGTTGATCACGTACTCCTTGACTGTTATTGTTGAGCTACTAGCTCACGAAGCTTCTTCTAATTAATTAGTGAAGAACCAGGTTACACTCTGTTTATGATCGGTGAGGATAGGAAGAAGTTTCCTGTGAGAGGGTCTGAATAGTAACATTATTTATGTGGTGATTTTCTCTTTGGCATTTACCGTCATGACTGTCTCTTCACTTAAATAACGAGCACATTTGTCTTTCTATTGTTTGAATATGATGATTTTAAAAAAATAAAAATATTATAATAATATATTTTAAATAAAAAATAATTTAAAAAACAACATTATTAAAAAAAAAACAAATCAAACATGCTATTATTACATCTTGTGTCTTCTACAACATCAATCATAAATTCGTTTTCCCAGCAGGCCTCAAAACCAATCGTACATTGCAGCTTCAGTAAAGAGCAAGCAAACACCAAAGAGACTTGTTGAAAATGATCATGTCACATCGCATTCATATATATTAAATTTGTGATGAACAAATGTTTCAGATTCCTCGTGGATGATGTGCCCATTAGGAGGTACCCGAGGAAAAGCGCCACAACTTTTCCACTGAGGCCGATGTGGGTTTACGGTTCAATCTGGGATGCCTCGTCTTGGGCTACTGAAGACGGAAAATACAAAGTTGATTACAGGTATCAACCATTTGTTGCTAGTTACACCAATTTCAAAGCAAGCGGCTGCTCAGCCTATTCACCAGCCTGGTGCCACCCTGTGTCCGCCTCTCCGTTCCGGTCGGGTGGGCTCACAAGGCAACAATATAGAAGCATGAGATGGGTCCAAAGACACCACATGGTCTATGACTATTGCAAGGACTACAAGAGAGACCATTCCCTAACACCTGAGTGTTGGAGTTAATATAAGCGATTGCTTTGAACATTGATGTGTCAACTCCTGTATAGGAAAATGGAAATCACTTGAAAAAAAGAAAAAAAGACAGTTTAACTTGCCTTGTGATTTCAGATTTTTTTGTCTTTTATTTATGAAGGTGTCTTGAGATGGTTCCTCGCTAGCTAAAGGCATTATACATGCCAGAGCAGTTGAGCGTCCAAGGCTCCCGATTGGAAAATTTGTTTGATTCGTCCAGTGTTTGAACAGTATGTGTGTGCTTTCTTTTATTTTTGAATAAATTAAAAGTATTTTTATACCTTCATATTTTAGATTTTGTTATTTGATCTCTGAATATATATAGTGTCAATTCATAGACCTTGTTATTATTGTTTCTGAACTTCTGAACCGGTGTGTGTGTCTATATGTATGTATGTATGAACATTTTGCGGTGAATATATGAAAAGGCATCAACAAAGTAGGATGCCCAAATTTATTCGTGTTTCCACATGGTCCGTGTCTTTTTATTCATGCGGCATGTTTTATGTTGTATTAATCATCTCTTCTAAACTCATTTGTTTTGAGTTTATGCTTTATAGTTCATTTGGCTTTTATGACAAATTAACAAAAAAAAAATAAGGTTTTTATTATACCTCATCTTATAAAACACAATTAATTAGAATAATGTTTTTTTAATTAATATTTTTTTATTCTTTAATATATTTTTTTTATTGAATTATCACACTCTCATGACTCGGATTGCGAATTTAACAAGTTAACTCAATTCATTCTAGTTTTTCTCTTCGTTTTCTTAATTAACTTTTTTTTTTATAATTTTATTATTTAATATTAGGTTAAATTAATATTTTTAAAAAAAAATTATTCTGTAATATAAGAATTGTTTGTTACTGGATTATCCCAATCTTATGACAGGAATTGCAAGTTTAGTAGTTTAAATTAGTTGATTCAAGTTTTCTCTGTCTTTTTCTTAATTAACCTTTTTTTTTCAATATTATCATTTTATATTGAATCGATTGAGAATTAGATTTCATAATTTATTTTATTTGTTTCCTATTAAGTTATTCCTATTTCATCACCTAGAAATCATGCTTAATAGGTTAATTCAAGTTATTTTTATATTTTTTTTAATATTTTTTTTATTTTATCATCCAACATTAGGTATATTGGAGATTGAGATTTATAATTTGTTTTGATTTTTTTATGTGATATCTTGGTTTCATAATTAGAGTTGCGAGTTTTTACATCTTGACTCGATTAAATCAGATTATTTTTTAATTTTCTTTCTAGGTGGTCATCTTGATGTCATTACTTGGGTGACAAATCCTTCAATATTAGATTTGTTTTTTATTGGGTTGTCCCTATCTCGTAACTCAGGTCACCAATTTAGCAGGTTAACTTAACTAACTCAATTTTTTTTAATTGATTCATTTTTTTTTAATTTTATTATTTAATATTGTAGTTGATAAAAAACTAGACTTCATAATTTGTTTCAATGTATTTTTTAATGAAATTATCTTAGCTTTATAACTCAAATAGTGAGTTTGATAGATTAACTTTATTTGTATTTTGAGGTCTTTTTTTAATTAATTTTTTTTTTAATTCTATCATTTAATATTAAGTTGATTGAAAATTAAACTTTATAATTTATTTTTATTTATTTTCATGGGATTATTGTAGTTTCATAACCTGAGTAATGAATTTTACATATTAATTCAAGTTGACCTAAGTGAATTCAATATTTTATTATTTGAATATTAAAAAATATTATCTTGAATTTTTTTTACTTAAACTATATATTTATAAGTTTTTTAAATTATTTTTGAATTTGAAAAGTCAACCAATCAGATTATATTAAATGAACCCTAACTTAATTAAAAAAAAAATTCCTACAAAAATACATTAACAATATCTAAGTATTTTTTATATTAAAAAAATTAACTTAATTGATAATAAAATACAAGGCAACAATCTAGATATTTTTAAGAGGTATAAACTTCAATCAATTTCCTATTTCCTGCAAGATGAAAATAACAAAAAAAAAAAAAATATTGTGCATTCAGCGAGTGTTCTGAAAAGCCTGTAAGCGACCATGGCTATTATTATCCCTGCTCTATCTATCAAAGTGTCCAGAACATGGAAGGAGAAAAAGGGCTGTTGGATTCTCGTGATTGAACAGTTTGTTTTGTTTCGATATGGAGTCAATTATTATGATTGGTTTTCTTTGCAGACTGTTTTTGCATTCTTTTTCTTTACCCACATCATTCCTCGAAGTATTCGGCGTCAACATCGATGATAGAAGGGTCTCTTAAAGTCCTGAGAAATTCAATCTCCAATATATGATGATCCACACCCTCCAATTGGCAATGGAGGAGGCATTGTACGCAATGTTAGGCCCCACAGTCTTGACACAATTCCACCAAGCATCGTCCCCACGTTTCGCCCATGACGGTGGACCATATTTTTTTCATATGAAAATGATTTTGAAGATTGCGCCATTCAATATCTAGAAACAGCAGTTCACTATGTGTACGCAGATAAAAAGTACCCTTACATCTGACCATGAGTTAATCACAGCAAGCTTTCTGCGTAAAGTGATTTCCGAAGCTCCTCGGGTCTTCAAGGCAGAATCATATCCACCTCCAAACGGGACAATTTCTTTTCTTCTGCCATGACGCGTATCGATCAACTCTGTCGCACCTGGTCCTGCAATTTCGATGATGACATAGATCCTCCAATACTTTACATGTACCTATAAGAAAAATACTTTCTATTTACTCTAGTTAAGATGGCAAGAATTAAGTGAAAAAGTGGAGAGAGGACGGGGTACGAGGCAAATTAAACATTCGTTTGTTTAAGTGTTTAAGTGACTGAGGTATCATTTCAAGTAAAATAGAGCTCTTACATTTTTTTTGTAAAAAAGTATAATTTACTATTTATAGATCCCATCTTTTACTATATTTGTAATACATGGTCAATTAAAACAGCCTAGAGCTGCTTTTGTTGCACCTGTGTTACGATATAATAAATAATGGCATGCCTTATAGAAAAAAAAAAAGTTAATCAGTTTTTTTTTTTCTTTTTCTTTTGTACCATATCTTTAATGTTTTGCCACGTGAAGAATAGAGACTCCACATGAACATTGAATAACAATGGACCCGCTCTTTCTCTTTCCCTTTTCCTTCTTCTTTTGCTTCTGCACCATATCTCTACTATTCTACAATGTAAATAGTGAAGACTTTGCTATTCATATTGAAGAATAGTGTAACGTAACTCCCTCACCATCACCTAGAGTCGTTGCCTCTTCCCTTTACCCCTTTCTTTCTTCTTCTTTTTCTTTTTTTGCACTTCTCCATATCTCCACTATTCAGCCACATGAATATTGGAGAGTGAATTAATTCACTCTCCACTGTTCACGTGAATAGTGGAGAGCAACTCCATTCTTAATAGGTCGGATCGAGTCAGGTCCAAACCTAAATGTATTGAATCGGGTCTGTTCTAAACCTAAATGCATTAAATCAAGTATGACCTAGTAAAATTTAAAAAATCTAAATAAATTTATTAGATATTATGTTTTATTTGAAAAATAATATTTAATATGATTCAATGGCACTATATAATTACATATGAAGGAAATCGTATGATAGCATAGTATTTGCAGAATTTGATTGCAATTCCAATTTTGTTCCTGATGATATTTTACCTGATATTGTTGCATGCCTAGGAAATCATGAAAACTTTAGTCCTTGTTGAATAGATTTTATACATTATGAAATTGAACATAGTTTAATGCAACAATAAAAAATACTTTATATAAAGTATTGTTTATTTCATGATGTAATAACAATAGTTAAATCGCTAATATTTTAATTAAAAACCATCAATATTAATAGAAGTCTTTTTTAATTATTTTATAACCTCAATTTGAAAAATATTTTTTAACCAAACACACTAAACTACTTTTTGTTCAACCTTAATTTCAACCACAGTTTTAACCAAACATATATTTTTCCAAACCAACCTCAATTAAAAGTACTTTTTATACAAAATAACTTTATTCAAATTATAACCACAACAACTACCACAATACGAAACACCCTCTAAAATATGGCTTACATCTAACATGCTTTCCTCTACATGGTTTCTGCTTAGATGTAATTTCTTAAGATAGTGGCAATAATTGTAGTCAAGAATATAAAGTATTCTCACATGAAACCTGGTAAAGATCCCTCAAATCCAACATCCAAGACTTGGCACTCCAAATTGTCTCCCTATATATATATATATAGAGAGAGAGAGAGAGTAGACAAGATATAAGCTGATAATCCTCCTATTGTCTGTACTCTTGATTAGTGTTTAAAAGTGTATTTTTATCAAGGTTTTATATTAATATTTTGCACTTAAAGTATCAATAACTCCTTAGTTAAAATATATTTTATAATAACAAGTTTGATACTATAAGATACCTTTAATTTATGATAAATATTCATTTTAAATGCAGACCTATTATATAAATTAAAGAATCGTTTGATGAATTCAACTACTGAAATTCAGAAGACAAAAAAAGGGTAAAGCTTTTAAAAGAAATGCTAGCTCAGTCCAAACTGGAACACTGTTTAGTCATTGGGTTATATCTGGAGCTGTAGATCTTGGATTTCAATTTGGTTACTGACACGACCAAAAGATTGATGTCTTCTCCCAAGTGTAGGAGTGTCAAAGTAATAAATAACCTGATACGACCAAGGTCGAATCACAAGAAGGTTAATTATATAAATCATCAATAACAATAACATAACAACAAATCCATAACAATAACAATAATAATATTGAATCCTAATAATGATAAAGAAGTTGACGAGAACTTTGAGATGGAAGATTAGTGTAATGATTAAATAATGATAACAACAAATGTCAAGGTTAGAGGATCCACTAATGGTATGTCAAATAAGTATAATATAAACTCTTATTATTCAATTGGAAACCACACA